GTGGGTGGTCAGGACTCAGCGAGAGCGATCATTGTCAAAAGGTGATTTTTTACGTACAAGTGTGCCAATATACAGGTCACGCGATTGTGCAGCGTAGCCAGAGGACGTTTGGCTTCAAGAAAGGAATATCTGCCACTACATTGCTGCTATACTGACTACCTAACTTCGAGTTTAAAAAAAAGGTGGCCGGGGAAGTAACCATCGTGGGCATTGTTATTCGTGAACAACGACAATGGCACAAGTTAACAACAGAATTATTTCCGGAATGTAACGATGTGTTATGTCACGATCAACCTGGCGGGGAGTTGGTGGGGGAACTGTCCGACACAGTGTTTGATGCAGACTGGAAGTTAAACAAAGTTGGTTCAGTGATGTGAAATGCTCTGAAAACTATCCCTGTCCCTAGACTTAAACATTTCTTCAGTACCTTGGGAAAGTTTACCGTGCTTACTATATAGCCGGAGACCAGAGGCAATTATTTCTTTTTTGGCACCAAAAGGGGGCGAGGCAATTGTTTGAGGGAGGCGATTATTTCAAATATTGCTCACTAGAAGTCGTGCTCCTAAACATTTTGTTCTATTTTCCTATTTTGATAAAAAAAAATCACGTCAAATAAACTGAACATAAATAGCATTTAAAGTGTTTCAAATTTGGTTCCTTGATTAATTTTCACTGTCAATGTCTTCGGTGTCAGAGCTTGAATCATCACTGATCAGTTTTGCTGAATCAATCCTCCATTTTTTTAACACTATGGGTTATGATCCCTAGCAGGTAAGCGATTATTTGAGGGAGGCGATTAATCGAAGGACGGCTATTTAAATTATTCAAGAAAAGTGCAAGAGCAACCTTTTTTGGCCTAATAGAGACCTTTTGAAAAAATATACTTTTTTTTGCCACTGATTATCACCAGTGCTGTTGTCAGTCATCAATGACACAACGCAAACATGACTCTAGTATAAAAGAAACATGGAGATGCTTAAAATAATTTTTAAAAAAGATTAAAAATTCCTAAGCGAGAAAACATGCATTTTGCATTTTTCTTTTGTATGGAAGCCTCACTTCAATATCCCTGCCTGGGACATGTTAATGCTACATTATTCAAAAGGTGGTGACCATGATTTATTTCTGCCAGTTGTGGAATTGCATCATTGTTCCACTTATTAATTAATGGCTATGCATTGTACAAGGAAACTTAGCTAGTACACTTTACTGCCTTGTAGCCCATCTCCCTAGCTGGGTGTTGTATCTGACATCCCTTTGCTTTATTATAGATATAAGCCTTAACTCGTTGAAAAATTGAAGTTTTGTTTCTGAAAGTTTCTTCAAGGGCCATGCAGATGAAATTACTGAAATGCGTCATAAGGGTTTTCCCACGGATCACAAGTTTTTAGAATGGTAAGTTGTCCTTTAAATTGGCTTTTGTTTTAAAATTTGTCTTTCCTAATTTACTGATATAATCTACGTAGCTATTCACTCACGTAAGTGACCACATGGTATTGAAGCAGTAGAGGGTGGTCACTTACAAGAGCGTCAGAAACTCATTAATAATTCAGGCTAAGTGGTCACTACGGAAATGATATTGGACTTTTACAAATACAATACTGCACTGTATAAGATCATTATCAACAAACCATTATTAGTGCATGTGTGCAGTTTCATTATAGAATTGATTTATATGAGTAAGTCTAAGACTCTGAGTGGTCCTAGTGGTTGCTTAAGAGAGCTTAATAGATAGAAACAATTAAGTAAAAGTCTAGTTTGGTAATCCAGAAAGCAGTCGTGATTGCTTACAGGAGCAGTCGCTTACGAGAGCTTTTCATTACCAAGTTTAAGTCACAATTCAAACTGGGTTTCTCTTAAGGTGGTTTTAACTAGAACTGGTTGTTTACGAGAGTGGTCACAAGGAGTCAAGCTTTAACTGTATTGTGGAAGACCTTCCATCCATCTTGTTTTAATCCCTTTTCTCTAATTCCCTTGCGTGCTTCTCATTTACTTAATTTTCTCCAATAGCTGGCTATTTTCTGATAAATTAAGTCTGAAAAAAGCTCGAAAAACTCAGTTTGCTCTTTTGGTGGTATAAATATGAAACAAACACAGGAAAAAATAACGGATTCCCATTTTTGGATATTTTTGGGTATTTAAAGAATACCCATAAAAATCCCAAATTTGGCAAAGTGAGACAAGTCCCAACCAGGGAATTCCCAACCAAGTTCCCAGATTGGGACTTGTCTCACTCTTCCAAATTTGGGATTTTTGTGGTTATTCTTTAAATACCCAAAAATATCCAAAAATGGGAATCCGTTATTTTTTCCTGTGAAATAGCCAATAGTTACTGGTAGTATTAACGGTGAAATATCACTGCACACTCAATGTTTGATTGTGCAATATGAAATTCAAAGTGAACAAAGCTGATCATGCAGTGTCCTAAAACACTGATTCCTCAACTTGGGTTAAGAATTGAACTTGATAATGCCCGAGCTCTCTATTGAGCATAAAAAGGTTTTTCCTGTTGAAGTCATTCCTCAAGCGAGATCATTTTCAAAAACTTTTCCAAGAGGAGCCCCACCTGATGACTGTCCCTCTCTCAATAGCAACTTAAATATATACCTTAAAATTTGAAAAGGTCTTCCTTCTCAATCTTATTCGGTTAATTATATGTGACTAATTGAGAGACATATGAACTTCTGCATCATCATTCACAACTTTTTTAAGTACATTTTATTATTATTATTATCATTATTATTATCTCTTTTATCACAGTCATTGCGGGTGTTCTTTTTGTGCAGCATTATTATTATTATTATTATCATTATTATTATTATTATTATTATTATTATTATTATTATTATTATTACAGTCGACCCCAGATAACCCGAACCCCAGATAACTCGAACCAAAATCGATTTCCCCTGGATTTCCGTCATACATTCACTGTAATTTTACCTTCCATAACTTGAACCCTCGATAACTCGAACTCCCGCTACCTGGAACCAATTTTCGTTTCCCCTCAGGTCGATCATTTTCTATATAGAGGGTCGTGAAGGGGGGTACCAAATCCCAGTTCCCAGCCTAAATTTGGCCCAAATCCCAGTTCCCAGGCTAATTTTTGCCAAAATCTCAGTTACCAAATCTAAAATCCCATTACTAATGATTATTTGCAAAATCATGCGCATAATAAATTAAAAGCACTGATTGACGCTATTTGGATACACGTACCTTCACCTGGACTGAAGAAAATCTCTCATTCTGCTGGTGAACACTCTTTCTCTTCTAGCCATATGCAAACTTGCAGAACTTGTCCGCGCTGACCAAGAAAACTGACAGAACGTAACTATGCAACCGTGTAAGCCTGGTAGCTAGACCAAGGGCACGAAGGCGAAAAATACTGATTTCACGGTCTCTACTGAGGAGTGCAAGGTCTATTGCTACGAAATTTTATTTTTCTATTTCAAAATATTGGAGCAAAGACTGCTGAAGAAAAGAAATCCCATATAATTGTTCATCCCATTCCCAGTGGCTAAATCCCAGTCCCAGTGAGTAAATCCCATTTTCCCAGTCCACAATAAGGCTAATCCCAGTTCCCATTTTACCCCTTCACGACCCTCTATATAATTTTACCCTTGATAACTCGAACCATGTTTTGAGCCCTTAAAAAGTCGGGAAAAAAGCCGTCTACTGGCGTCCGAAACATTGAATTTTCGACTTACTTCCTATTGACGTGTTGTAGGAGTATAGTTTACTAGTGGAGGCTGATATTGATTGTCACAGGCTAACGTGAAGCATGAGCTTTACTTCTCAAAACAGTAAATGCATGCTCTATTTAGGCTATGGTTTGTTACGTTACGTTCTGATTTATAATCTAGAAGTATCTTTTAATTTTCACTTGACATTTCTAAAATTAAATGTGATTTATAAAATGTTCACTGTGCAGTAAAAACTGTTTTTTACCTTACTCTCGGCTATTTTTTTCGAGCTCCCGATAACTCGAACTCCCGATAACTCGAACTTTTTTCGATTTTCCTGGAAGGTTTGAGTTATCGGGAGTCGACTGTATTATTATTTAATATTCTCATGGAAGTATAGTCTTTATCTTATTAAATGCCTTGGAGGAAACTTAACCTGGTTGAATTCTGATGCCAATTAACTATTGCCAGTACTTGGATGCTGAATTGTTACTCTCAGTCCTAGTGAAAGATATAATGTTTATTCAAGTGTGGAATAAGGGGATAACTCAATCAGCTATAGGCTGAACAGCCAATTTAAACTCACTCAGTGTTGCAATTTGCAGGCATATTGAATATGGCAAAGTCCTTCTTGTGTGGTTTTGGCATGTCCCTCTTCTTCTTGTGGCTGGATCAGAGATGGTTAAGGTAATTCCCTTAAAAAAGATCATGTATAATCCAGAATTTTTTCAAACTATAGGTGTATATTCATCTTGACGTCATATTGTCTACATTTTATTTTTAGCTCATTTAGCATATAAGCTAAACGTTAGGTTATGTAGCCATATATTTAAACAATGGGCTCAAAAATTGAAAGAGCTGGTTTATTTGAGCAGTTTGGGTAAGTTTCAGCTCTTTGCAATCAAAATGTAAACAGCTGTAATCAAAAACTTCCTAATTTCTGGGCAGCAAAACCATGCAAAGCACACATACATTCTAATTTGTACATTAAATTGGGGTTTTTTAAAGAGAAGTTCTCCAATTATTTTATTAGCTTCATCAGAGATAATGATAAGCATGCGCATATGTTAATGAGGCAAAAAATTGTTGACAAGGATTCGTCTAGATCTATTGATAGCACTGTATAGGATTTATTAAACAGGGACCGCGCAGAGGGAGGGGCTGGGGGGGCTTTAGCCCCCCCGCTTTTTTGCAAGAATAAAAATAAATTTAACAAAAATAATTTAACAAAAGTAACGGAGTGAAAAATAGCAAAAAATCGTTAATTCGAAAGTGACCAGAGTTACTGGCAAAGACAAACGAGCAGATAAATAGACAGAATGAAGCATTAGTCGTTACAATTGTAAAATATTTTTTCGCTTCTAACCTAGCAGAGGTAAACGTCTTTTAAATGGCTTCTTTTTCCTGCGAACCTCTCAGGAAAACGCGTTGTTTCGTATTGGTCAATTTCGATCCGAAGTAATAACTGGGTTTAGTTTAGTGGGCGATTCTCACACATTATGAGTTTCAACCTTGATTTTTGGAAGATCATGAAGTTATTGTTTCTCTTGTTATTGTGCGTCCTGATTTTAGCTCGATCAGCGCGAAGTCCGTCTTTTTATGTCAGGCTTCACGGCTCGTTGAGCATTCCAATTGCAAGTTTTGTTGAACGCGGTCTGTTTTTAAAAACATTTTGTCATCGAAAGTACTTAAACCGCAGAATTGTGTATAGCTCTGGTCATCAAGGAACATTCAATCCGGCGGTTATTACGAACAAAGAAGTGCATGGTACACGGCAACATAAATACGAACGACGAGACTTCACATACCACTAGTAATGCAAAGAAGAGATCTCTTAAAATTTCTGATTACTTTTCCAAACAAAATGGAAAACCTTCTTTATCTGGTGAGTAAACTCTCCATAATTTTTGCTACTTTTTTCTGAATCTATAATTGAATTTTAATTCACTAAATTATTTTCAGTTACTGTTTTGTTTTGCCGTGTAAATATTTTGAATGAATAATTAAACAATTATTGAACTCGGCTTTCGTATGATATGAAGATATACAGATCTCGGAGGGTGTTATCCACCGGGCTCAGGCCTTAGGCTTTGGCGGATAACCCCCTCGATCTGCATAACTCTTCATATCATACTCAGCCTCGTGCAATAATTGCTCAGTAATTATACAGCCTTGAGTTCAAGGCAGCTCAAGCAAAATCGTTGGATTTCTGGCTTATTTATAGTAATAAGAGGGTCTCAATGGGGTGGTGGCTTTTACGGTTATCGGCTAAAATTTTGGCCCTTTTACGGCTATCGGTTAATTTTTTTCAGTTACGGTTAACAAAAAAGTTAAAAATTAATTTCTTTTGTTTCAAAAAGTTAAATATTAATTAACCTGTATTTTTTGTATCTTTAAAGCAAAATAAAGGCCTTCGGATCATCTCGGGATAAAATAAGCTATTCTATTGAAAAATTTTCACATTTGATAGATCAATATACTTTTATAAAGTATTCCACTTCTAATATTATTTTACACATAGAAATGCCAACAGTAAGCAGACACGCGAACGCCCAACTCAAGGCCGGGGCGCGACATTCCACACTAGAGACGGCTTATTCGTGTGAGACGGGTTATCCGTTTGATGATTCGCGTCAGATAGGTAATACGTCTCAATTTGAAAATGGAATAGTTTTAATATTGAAATGAACAATCCCCCTGACTTTATCCGTCAATTTTGAAAGACGGAAGATGGATTATCCGTTACAGGTAGCCTGTGTACAGCCGCAACCTCCCCGCAGAAAAAATCGGAGAAGGGGTGTCTAAAGCTGTGGAGGAGGGGGCGACTGTACACAGGCTAGTCTGGATAATCCCTTTCTAGCTCTCGTGTGAAAAAGGCCAATAACAAAATTTCCGTGTCCAGTGTTTTTAATGATAGCGAAGGACTGTACAAAACGACTGCCTGTCGTTGCCTTGTCGGTAGACCTCATTATTCCGCGCGGCTAATGCGTTTCTGGTCACGTGGTCCGAGCGAGTTCGCCACCGAAATGCCTTGACCGAGATTGCGTGGCAAGACGCCGTACATGCAGGGACTAGGCATGGCAATGTCTACCGTAGCGTCAGAGAAAAACAGGAAAATGTTGTTTATCGGCAACGTGTTTTACAAACAGCTCTGCGTGTTGTTTCACTAGTGTTTCGAGAGCACGACGTTCTGAAAATCGCAAATATTAATTCCCAGGAAGAAGCCCCCTTTCGCTATAGGAAAAATTAGTTTCCCGAGATAGCGGCGGAAATGGAGCCTAGGTCTTGGTCATTACCTAAAAGGCTTTTCGCCTAACGTGCGTACGGAGTCAAAGTAGCCGGAAAATAAAAAACGCAACCATAAGCGAGTTAAGCACCTCCCTTAAAATTAACAAATCTAGGGAACAATTACTTTTACGGTTAACTCTTTTTTACCCAATTTACGGCTAACGGTTAAAATTTTTCAATTTTTACGGCTATCGACTAAATTTTTGGCCGTTTTACGCCTATCGGTTAACCCCATTGAGACCCTCTAATAAAAGGTTGATATCAGTAGTATAACATAACAATCTATGATATTTCAATTTAGTGATGGTGAATTTTCAGACCCGATAGCAACATCACTGAAGATGTGGAAAAAATCAATAGTTTTATCGTTATTCACATTCTCCGTCACTTTAGAGAAATTGAATAGAAATCCACAAGCATGCCCCCCCCAAAAAAATTTTCCTTCACGCATTCTTCTTTAGCCCCCCCACTCGAAAACGTGCTGCGCGGTCCCTGTTAAACTGGCATGCACTAAAAAGATGCATGGTCACTTTCCAAATCAGTGTACATTGTTAAATGGTATGTATGTTATTCTGAATGGCTTTTGTACATTGCACTTAATTTTAAGACAGCAACCTGAAAAACTGTGAGGTAAAAAAAAATGAAGTCGCATTATTAGATTTTGTCAATAAGATGTTAAGCCATGCCCATAAGATGCGGATCATGAAAGTCAAATTACAGTCCTGGCCTTTTTTTAAGGAATAATGTTGCAATTTTGGTCTAAAATTACCCCATAAAACTGTAATTGCCAGGCTTTATAATTGTAGTGCTTTTTTTATATCGCAATGCAAGGTTTTTCTAAGTACTCGTGCAACAGCTAGACTCTCGAAATAGTTCCCCTGCATTGGAGCATACAACAGTTGAATGCTTCAGGGTTATATATGCTTCTGTTATCACTAATGGAAGGGTTTTAACTACCAACTGTCCCTGTCCCTGTCCCTGTTCCTGTTCTTATGATCACTTCCACTGTAAAATTAAGTAGAAAATGTATACTGGTTAAATAGCAGATATTGATAACTGCTTTGTTTTTTTGTTTGTAAAGGAAATTCTCATTGTGAAGAATCTTCCAAAAGACCCTCAGTCCTATGAAATTCTTAGCTACCTTTATGGACAAAGGTAGAGTCAGACTGCATGCTCAGTAATATCAGTTATAGATAATGGAATTATGATAATTTCTCATGACATAATGTTATTTATTCCCGTGATAAGAAACTGACAGTGTTTTTAAAGTGAAAATTGAGAAACTACTAAGTAAAAATTGAAAATGGAATTAGTCACTGCTTTTTTTAAATAACAGCTCAAATAGCTACCAAACTTAATACTATGGGATAACGTTTATCTTGTTAACTGTTACCCTCTACCCTTTATCAATTCCCCTAAACCCCCACCTCCATACACCCCATTTTCTAGTTTTCTCTCACTCCCCCTCTCCCTCCTCTTTCCCCTTCATAATCACTCTCTTCCTCTTGAAATATTGTAGCCCTTTATCCCATTATACAACCCATAGTTTCCTCAAAAACCATACCCAATTCCAGACCAAAATGAGCAAAATCTATACGGGTCGTTTTCAGACCGAAACATCACAAAAACCATACCCTTTGGGGCCGCACGTACCTATATTGCTTATATAAAGGAGACCCCCCCCCCCCCCCCCCCCCCCCCCCTCCCCTTCCTCCTCTTTCCTCCACCCCCCCCCCCCCCCCCCCCCCATCTTCTTCTCCCTCTCTCACTTTTATTTTTATAATATATTTATTATTATAAAAATAAAAAAAAAAAATTATTTATTTTAATTTTTTTTTTTTTTTTTTTGTGTTTGTTATATGTTGTATTTTTTNCAATGGGCAGATCAGTGAGTTAGTGGTGAACCCTTCGTTAAACTGTGCAACTACAGTCTGACATTTCTATTTTTGAGCAAAGCGTTTTCTGAGTTTTTGAAACTTAGACAATATTATTATACTTTTTAACTAGAAGTAAACTCTGCAGTAAAATCTGTACTGCACTAGACTGCCGTATTATGAAGTTTATCCCATTATTATAACCGCAACAAAATTTCTTTCTTTGTTCAGCTATAGTCAGCCCTGATTTCATATTTCATAATTATTAGGACAGTATGTAGACTTTCTCAAAGTCCTTCGCCTCTCATTTCCGGTTCCGGTAGTTTAGCTCTCGCTCTCCCGCTTGCTTTTGCCGCAGAAAACATAAAAAAATCTACCGCTCGCGCTTCGCGCTTGTGAAGTTTTGAGCTCGATTTGTAGGCAAGTCTAGACAGCATGTTTGTTATTGGACATGAATTGCTCTCAGAATTGACAGAATTGGGTTCCTTTTTTTCACATCTAGCAAAAGCCCTCGGCCGCGGACGATCTTGCGTTAGTTGAAATTATTACAGCGATTAAGGTGTTTCGATACAGTTTTTCAGAGACCAGACCGATATTTTTCAATCGCCTTAAAAGTGTTTTTTTCCTTGTCCGATCGCTATAAAGCTTTCACCAGTAATTGGCTACGGATTGAAATTTTTGAAAATGTAGTTTTAAGTAAAATCGATATTACTATGACAACAATAAACAAAAAACTTTGAAACTGATAAAAGCCGCATTTTGTGTGATCTAGACCAGCTACTGAAAATCCAACACTAGGAATTTAAAGTTTGGTGTTTAGCAAATAATCTCCGTGAGAAGTAAAAAATTCTGTATGTTTGAATTCGACTAAAACGAAAATATATTTCAAACCTTAACTTTTCAATAGCCGTGATAGATTATTTAAGAAAAACGTTATAAATGACTCAAATTATTTTTGAGTACGTAGCATCAGAATGCTGCTTAATATCATATTTTGATGCTGGGAAATTTTGGTGTATTTTTGTTCTTGCGATCTTGAAGACTAGCCCGTTTTCTCACCACCTGTATAAGTGCAACTTCATTCAAGATGTGGTCTTTTAGCGCTTTTTTGTATTTCTCTGAAACGACACGAACGATTTTTTTGAAAATCTCTTCACATAATCTTCATAATGTATATAATAATGTCTGAAACTTTCATTAAGATTGATTCACTGCAACACCTTAAAACTTCAAGACAAACTTATCCTACGAACCTGTCAAAAATCTGCGTTACCATGCACATTCACTGCGTTGACGTTATGCTAATTTTCCCAAAATAATGCGCACTATACATACCTCCATGACTAGTACAATTTAGTTGAATTTATGGCATTTTTAATTTGAATGTAAAACATTAACAATACTCACACTGAAATGTACTAGTCATGGATATATGTATTGTCCGCTTTAATTTGCAAAAATTAGCATGACGTCAAAACAGTGAATGTGGTAGCGAGGATTTTTGACCGGTTAGTAGGATAGGTTTGTCTTGAAATTTCAAGGTGTTGCAGTGAATCAATCTCAATGAAAGTTTCAGACGGTATTATATATATTATGAAGATTATGTGAAGAGATTTTAAAAAAAATTCGTTCGAGTCGTTTTAGAGATATTCAAAAAAACGCTAAAAGTCCAAATTTTGAATGAAGTTGCACTTAGACAGGTGGTGAGAAAACGGGTTAGTTTTTAAGATCGCACGTACAAAAATACACCAAAATTTCCTAACATCGAAACGTGACATTAAGCAGTATTCTGACGCTACTTGAGAATAATTTGAGTAATGTATAACGTTTTTATTAAATAATCTATCACGGCTATTGAAAATTTAAGGTTTGAAATATATTTTCGTTTTAGTCGAATTCAAACATACAGAATTTTTTCTTCTTACGGAGGTTATTTGCTAAACACCAAACCTTAAGTTCCTAGTGTTGAATTTTCATTAGCTGGTCTAGATCGCGCAAAATTGGGCGTTTATCAATTTCAAAGTTTTTTGTTTATTGTTGTCATAGTAATATCGATTTTACCAAAACCTACATTTTGACAAATTTCAATCTATAGCCAATCATTGGTGAAAATTTTATAGCGATCAGACGAGGATAAAATCACTGTTAAAGCGATTGAAAAATATCGGTATGGCCTCTGAAAAACTATATCGAAATACCTTAATTAGTAACAAACTTCATGTTGTCCAATTCTGTCTATTGTTACTGTCTTGAAATTCTTAAACAACTTTGTTTTACAGTAAGCTTAATATATTTTTTTGTTCGTTTAAGATATATTCAACCTCAAAACATGCGTTCCTCGATCTATGTTATTAAACTTCCCGTCTTCAAAGCTGTTCCTTACTAATTTCCGTAGGATATTATGTTCTATAACGTGTGAAATGAGTGTAAAATCTCTCGCCATTTGCTCCAACCCTCAACTGCCAAAACAGCTGAGCAACCGCATCGATTACCCATTGATCATCGGCAATAATCAATGACTAATCAACTGATTACCCATTGATTACTCATCGATTACACATTGATGTAATTGATTTCATTGATGAGATACGCCTGGTATTCACCTCCAAACAGGCGAAGAGAAACAAAATCTTTTCAATTTTTAAAAGACTTGAACTGTACGTTTTCGTGGATGAGAGAGTTTGGTTTATTAATTTCTGATTATTGATTGATCCTACCGGACCACTACATTAGGATCCATTAGTATAATTACATTGATGATTATCGAAAATAGAGCGCTATGATTGGCTAGGAGCTTCGCTTTATTCCGCTATAATCACCGCGCGGTGATTATGACATTGAAGGCTAGCAGTTTTCAAAATGACAGCCAGATTTTTTTATGTTTCGGAGTCGGAAATTGATCAATAATTTTATTTTCTCGAATAATCATCAATGTAATTATACTAAAACAATTAGTCGCCTGAGGACTAATTGTTAATTAACAGAAGGTTTTATCTAATAGGCCACTTTCGAGTTCCAAAAACCCTCACTTTCAAAAAGAGGCTAGGTGCACAACCTTTTTTGTGAAAATGAGTTTTATTTACATTAAAATGACTGAAATGGTTTCTATATCAAAGGCTGAGCACCTACCCTCGTTCTGAAACAGAGGCCCGGGGGAACTCGGAAGTGGCTCATTAAACAAATACCCCACCAGAGTTCCCACCAGAAATTCCAGCTCAAATTTATCCTTTGGCTTTAAGAGACCTCCCACTCTATTTCATGGTTTCTCAATGTCATTCATTCAGATAACGTGGGTATTTTCTGGAAAGATTCGTTATATATGCGCCCTTCTGAAGCACCTGACATTTATTGTTAACCCCCAACCTGAGTATTATTCAAAACAAACTTGTTTCCCAGGAGCTTGAAAGATCTTATGAGCTCTTTTAATTCTACTGCTGACCTTCTGTTGGATCATCTGAGCACAATGGCTGATGGGAAGACACTGATCTGCATGGTAGATGAGTTTGCCCGTGCAGCACTGGATGTCATTTGCAAGGTTAGTAATACGGACACGACCGAGACTGCCGAGAAATTTGATTTTAGTTCTAAAAAAATCTCTATCACCTGCTCCCCTAGACTGCCAGCAAACTTTCTTAAAGGGGAGCGAGGAAGCGACAAGCAGCAAAGTCGCGAAGAGTAGGCAACGCGCTTCCAGAGGGGAATTTTTATAATCCCCACTCTGAGTGTTAGCTTCTCGTGAGTATAAGCCAACGCTAAATCGGGCACGAGAGCCTGCTCGAACGCTACTTCTCCGCTTTTCAACCCTTTGGCCTTCCCTTCCTTCCTTTCTGCGCATTTATTCTGCAGGTTACTTCCTGTGTGTGACGTGGCCGATTCCCCTACCCCTACCCCTCACCCACCCACCCACAACCTACCTCATACGTATCACGGCATGTTATCATAAATTTAAACACAGGTTGCTTTTGGAATGGAAATAGACGTCATTAGTGGAAAAGACACCAAGTTTACTGATGCTGTATCTCTGAGTTTTCACGGAGTCGAGGAGGCCACATTTGATCTGTTCCACAAGGTAATGCACCTATGATGAATTTCCATGACAAATTGAAAATGACATCGTTATACTGCAGTTACAAAATGTTCTATAGAATTTACTGTCCATAAAATAGGCCATTGTGCTCGTCATAATGAAGAAACTGCTTCAAAAGTGCTGTTTTGGGAACCCCAACATAGGAGCAAAAGTTTCTGTCAAATCTAACCTGGTCACCCAAATCGAGATAGACCAAGAACTACATAAATTGACACCATCAAGGCAGACACTGGATTGGACAACACTAAAGAAATAAGAGATACCATGCGCGATCAGGCCGGGTGGAAAGATTTTGTCAGGATGGCTTAGGATGACTCGTAGCCTGCAAGCAAGCTTTCCAATTATGCGTGCGGCCCTCGCGTGACTTCGCGACTCCCCCAAATGGAGAGCTTGCTTACTGCCTAGATTATTCGCGACCGAAGTAAGTAAAATTGGCAAATAAGGAAGGAAAGTATGTCAGTCTAGTAATGCTTAAAATTATTTGCCTTTACTTAACTCCCGTTTCACCAGTTTTCTTGCAGGCATGTATTCATTTTTTATTACTCTCTCCATCTTTTTCAGTTCAAAGTATTTCAGTTTCCCTTCCAGCGCCGCGTGGTCTCATCTGTTAAGTTCTTGCGTGAAACTGCGAGAAAAGTGATTGAAGTGAGAAAGAGTGCGATGAAAAGAGGAGAACAAGTTCCAGATGATATCTTACAGCGGATTATTGAACAAGGTTTGTTAACCCATGCCGCTGAGTTATTTTATGCAGGCTTTGCGGGGAACCTTATCCAACGTATTGTCTCCATTTATTCATTTCTTCATTCATTCAGTCACTCACTCACAGACTCACTCATACATTCATTCATTCATTCTGCATGTATGAATTCATTTATTCACTTATTTGTTTTCAATTCTCTCTTTTTATTCTCTTCTTTCATTCGACAATATTTTTTGAGACTGGATTATATTGTTATTGGGAAACTCTCCAGGCTTCTCATATATTTAAATGTTGGATGTGCAGATAACCCATTACTTGCATGTTTTTTTTTTTTCATGGAATTTTAAGGAACCGATGAACAATAATTTGCAATAATAAACCTACTTATATTTTAAAATCATATTCTTTATTTATTTCAATCACAGAAAAAATTCCTGGGGTTGGAATTGAAGAAATGTTAGATGACTTTGTTACGTTCTTCATTGCCGGTGAGAAAAATACTTTATAGAGACTTAGGCCCAATCCACACACACTAATGCCAATTCGTTTGAAAACGCATATAGTTCGATGCGTCTAGGCCTTTCGTCCAAACTAATAGTAATACGCTGAGCGTTTTCATCGTACAGGCATCGATTTGAAAACGCTTTTGAAAGGATATCAAAACGAAAAAGCATACATACCTTATTAGTGTGGGCTGTTGAAAACTGTCGAAAACCCATTAAAATGAAAGCGATGACCAAGAATATCGCAGAAGCGTGTGTTTGTAGCATGCGCATAGAGTTCAACTAACGTTAAGAATCTAACATCAAAACATATATTCATGACCAGGCCGGAGAAACAGTACTTTTCTTTTTGACCTGAGCCGATAACTGATCAGCGGATAACGTTAAAAAACACGTTACCTCAATAAGTTCTACAGCTGAGCCCGCGAAACAGCCATGTGACACTAATCAGCGGATACCCTTTTGACAGCTCCCAGCTTGGACTCCTAGCTAGCGAGTGTGTCATTTCACATCCGCTAACACAATTGCGGAAAGCGTGCGGACGGACTGATAGACGATTTTGTCCGAACCAAAATTTCTTGGATGCGTAGATAACCAAGTTTTGTTACCCATGGTGCTCCCGTGTGCGCGCTTCGCGGGCCTGTTCGGAAGTGTTTTTTCTGTCTTTTTTTTATTGCAACTCTGAAAGTGAAACCCTGTGAAAAGAAGCGTTTAAACGGCATTACGGTGTTGAATTTCGAATTTCAGGTCATGAAACTACATCTAATATGCTGGCGTTTTGTGTTCTGGACCTTGCGGATCATCCTGATATTTTAGACAGGTAGTATTGAAAAAACCCATACATTTTTTTAGGCATCATTTGGCTTTTCTCTTCTTGTCTTTGATGTTCCGGAGGGAACTCCGGTTAATTTAGAATAAAGGTATGTAACGTGAAGGAAAGAAAAGCGAAAAATTGACACTATTTTTTAAGAACCAAAACCATTTACCTCAAAAAAGTTTTGGTTTTACTGCTTTCATATGTTTGTAGTGCTTTAATGGCCGCCTAGATCCTGCAATTAAGCTATCACAACACCCTGAAGTTAAAAACAAGCAATATACCCTATCCAACGCCACATGCTATATCAGAGATATCCCCTCTGGATTTGGTGTATGCTGCTCGCATTAAGTGGTCAAACACGGTTGTTTTTGTCTTGTTTTGTTTCGTTTTTTTTTCTCGTATGAGCTACGTTACTTTTCATGTTAATGTGGCTCTGTGAAGTAATGTTTTATATATATATATATATATATATATATATATATATATATATATATATATATATAAATGATTTATTCATTTGCTGTTCGTCTTGCTTAAATCCCTAGTAGGATTTTCTTGTTTTCTTTCCTCCAGGCTAGGAGTAAAAAAAATTAACACGCGCTTTTTTGCAGTTTAGTAGGAGAGATTTTTGATGTCCTTGGCGATAAAAAACATGTTGCCTTCGATGATCTGGCCAAATTACATCAGCATGGACTGGTAAAGTGTTTTAATTCAATATAAATCCATTTTTAAATTTGTATTAAAATACTATTTTGGCATCATTAACATCTGTGTCCCGGGAAGGGGGGAACTCCGCATATGAAAGTGGTGGGGATGCTCGTCGTCTCGCTGAGGGGTGTAAATTTCGGATTTTGGTCTCACTTAGGGTGTTCTGGGCAAAACGCCATCATATTCAGCCGTGAAGGTCTCGTTTAGGGTTGCACGCGAAAAAATATAAAAATATACCCTATAACGTGGTCTCTTTTAGGAGACAAAAAAAGCTTGATCCACGCCCAGAGAGGTCTCCTTTAGGAGTTTAGTTCAAAATTTCCGACGAGCATCCCCACCCCTTTCATATGCGGAGTTCCCCCCCCCCCCCGGCCCATTCACGGCTGAATATGATGGCGTTTTGCCCAGAACACCCTAAGTGAGACCAAAATCCGAAATTTACACCCCTCAGCGAGACGACGAGCATCCCCACCACTTTCATATGCGGAGTTCCCCCCCCCCGGGTCTGTGTCTCCTTATTGGCCATTTCCGAGTAGCCCCAAGCCTCCGTTTTATTGATATGAAAATTTTTTTTTTTTATTTTCATGCATACAAAACTCGTAAGGTTTTGTACTAAGCCTCATTTTGAAAGTGAGAGTTTTGGAACTCAGAAATGGCCTAATCTAACACAAGTAATTTCGTAGGGTAGAAGCCCAGAGGTTATGGGCTCCTGCGTAGAGTTATTAGTTGGCCTGCAAAAATAGCCATCTCTCCTGGCTCCTCGCCGCGAAACGTCCCTAGCGGCGAGGAGAGAGAAGAAAGATGGTTGTTTTCGCAGGCTAGTTGTTAGATAATACAAAATATTACGTTAAGGGGACACGGTTCCAGAGATGTGTTGCAGGGACAATTTATCACATATGCTATAAATATTCGTCTATACTCTTGTGCAGTATGTAATGAAATCAGTAGTTAAGTAACGCAAAAGCCGGGGACCAGATCCTAGTAACATTTCTTGTGTTATGCGAACATTATGATATTTTCCTGTTTCATGCCCATGGCTAATATGGGAAGCAAGCTCAGGGAAAGGGAAATAAAAACTGGTGACAAAACCTAAATTGAACTCTATCCCTATCGGTAACCCCATTAACCTTCTTTGTTGTGTTCCCTTTTTTCATTTTACCGTTCCCTTAGTTCCTTCCCTGTTCCCTTTCTTAGCAGCATTCTTTTGTACTACACCGTTTTCATTAATTGCTATTATAACAATAACAGCAAAACGATACAAAAGACCCCTGGAGCCAGTGTATAAGCCTTTATGAATAGAGATCTGACCCAGTTTCAATGGTAGAGCGGATGGGAGGGCAAGCGAAGTCTTTCCTGTTCCGTGCTTCTTTCCTGGATCGCCTCCCCCGCGATTTTATGCTTCTGTGATTGGCGCCCGCTTGCGGACAAGGCCAACTTTAAGTAGGCAAGCGCTCCGTAATATTACTTATTACGTCATGGATACCGTGTTTGACCGTGTACTGTTACATTGTGATTTTACAGGTTTTAAAAGAAACGTTGCGCCGCCATCCCACAGCAACTGGAACCTTAAGACGGACCAACAAAGAAATGGAAATCGGAGGATACAAAATACCCGCTAACGTCTCCGTTATGGTACAAGTCTCTCTCTTCTGTCTAAAGCAAGCGAGACTAACTAAACGAATCATGAAGCGTGGGAGTGTGCATTGTGATTGGTTTATCCTTCCGCCTCTGCTTCTGACTCCAACAATTTGGTTCACGGGATCGTGAGCGACGGAGTCATAAGCGGAATCGGAAGAAAATGGAAACGTTCAGATTCTTTCGACTACGATTCTGTCGTGCGCAATTTTTAATCTATTTTCAGGTCAGTACATCAAGGCCTTGGTCTGAGATTTCCCTGTAGTGACCTCACTTTTGGTTTATTAGTAGCTATTAGTTGTACAGTCAGCTCTCTTTAAAACGGACAACTTTGGGACCGGCACCAAGTGTCCGTCATAGTGTCCGTTTTATAGGAAGTCAAATAAAGGGGTAAAGAAAGGCACGGACCAACTCTAGCTGTCCGTTTTACAGAGGTGTCTGTCCTATATAGGTGTCCTTTAAGAGAGAATCCACTGTATATACATTAACTTGATGGTGGTTTATTGATGTTTCTTCATTGTGCGAGCCTTAATGACATTAGAGAGCTTAAGCAATCAAGAAGGCGACGGCAACGAGAACGGAAAAAGCGGCGATAGGTTCAGTTTAACAAGGCAACAACTTTGCACGTCCGTCACGATACATTTCTTTGCCGTCGTTACAGGACTACTACATGAAACTTCACGTGAACACAAGACAACCAGTTTCGTTTGCTATTCCTGAACTTAGAAACAAACAGGCCTTCAAAATTCTATCCCAGAAATATTGACAAAGTGCAATAAGAGCGATGAACTTTGAAATACCTCGAATTCACTTTTTATTTAGTGATGTTTTCGTCGACCTCGCCGTCTTGGTTGCCTAACCTCCCTAACACAGCACGGATATGGTGACATTCAGTATAAAATTGTTTTGTCTGCAGACAAGCACTTACGTGTCCAGTCATTTTCCTGAGTACTGGAACAAACCAGAAGAGTACAATCCTTACAGATTTGAAGATGAAGAACTTTTAAAGAGGTGTGTTCAGACTGCTGATATTTTGCTTTAAAACTTTAAGGCGTTAATACTCACCGGCCTGTCTGCACTTAATTCTGAATTGACTCAAATAGAAGCTATTTTTGTTTGCTGTTATGCTCTTTTTGGGGGAAGGCAACTGAGAATAAAAGCAAGTCGAATTCATGTGCGAGTTGCATTGGTAAAGGAGTTTGTCGTTTTATGGTAACACTTACTCCATGTCAATCACTTCTAAACCTTCACCGGCGCAAAGAAAACGTTGTATGTACGGGGTCAGAAGGCTTTGTCCGTAGTATTTACAGCAAACGGCGGAAGATGCAAAATGGTGTGGTGGAAGCTATCCAAAAACAGTGTATACAGGTTATGTCAGGAAATCTCGTCTTCAAGGCCTGACTGTCCAGTTCATTTTATTAATTTTGCCAATTACGCTTCCGACCGCGCTATGAAAGTTGACGTTAGTGAAGAAATCACTTGTAAACGACAAAATCAGTCACAGCTTCTTATTCTTTCCCACTGACAAAAATGCCTCCCAAGCGGTATATCAAACGTTACAAACAACAAAAATGAACTTTGAAAAACCGTTAGGCTAACAAGTTTTCAAAAATGCACAATTTTAATCTGTTTTAATCTCCTTCATTATTGTCCATCCGTTCCTTCTTTTGTATTTGCTGTGATGAGCCATATATAGCACATTTTAGGTGTTTAAACTATATCAGATAGCTTGTCGTGTCGGCACCAAAAGTTATCCGGTGCGGTATGAACACAGCCTTTATATTCTATCACATTCTTCTATTGACCGTCCTCTTTCGGAACTTTCATTAACAAAAATAATATCTCCGTGTTTTATTTTGTAGGTCGCACTATAACTACTTTCCGTTTTCACTTGGACCGCGAAACTGCATCGGACAAAACTTTGCTCAGGTACATGTCTACTCTTTAAAAACGGTATCTGTTTGAATCGTGCCAATAGAGAGACTGGGTACCAGCGTATTAACACTTACATCATTTGTGCTTTTGACACCAGATTGAGGCCAAGGTTCTGTTGTCACGCTTTCTTCAGACGTTCAAGTTTTCGCTGGTGCCTGGACAGTCACGCGATGTTCTTGAAAGAGTGACTCTTCGACCCAAAGACGGTGTCATGTGTACCTTGACAAAGCGGAATTAAGAAAACTAGTCCGTAGGATTAAGCAGTTCCATATTTACTTGTCCTCGCCTCTTATCGTTTAGTACTGAAACCTGTTCTAAGCTCTCAGTACGTAGAGAAAACAAGTGAAAATTCAACCCTTTTTCGTCTAAAAAAACACCATAAAAGCACAAGCAATGATTAACCTTCTCCACTATAAAGAGTCTTAAAACCAACAACATTAGAAAACGGCCCAACCAAGAATGCATTGTAGTTATAACCGGCCCGTATCTCAGTGGGTGTGATTATACAACACTTACATTCCATGAACGGTTTTGCAGTGATCTACAGAAGAAGATCTTTTTAAACAGCAAAAAAGGTCAAATGCGCGTTTAGTTTTTCATAACTCGTAGCAGCTGTGAAAGAGTTTGGAACGGGCCATCTGTACCTCGTCGAACCTCCTTTGACATTTGTGATCCGAATAGTAAAGTCTGGCATTGCAATAGTTTGAGAATAACTACAAGTAGAGCTATTTTTAAAACATTTTGTTCCATAGTTTAAGGTAGGTTAGTGTTTTGCATTGCAGAGTAGTTGGATTATATATTCATGAATAACGGTGTATTGTAGGAATGTAGAGTTAATACAGACGCCTGTATAAGTGGCGGAGATGTTACTAACCGGTTGATATTCTCAGTGTTCTCCTGTGTACCAAACACACCACAAGTAGATATCAGATTGGCAAATTAGATCTCAAAGGTAGATTCCAAGCGCGTTTTTGACGTCTAAGTATCGATTGGCTATATTTTGTTTTGCTGCCTAGATGGATTGAGAGTGCGTGAAATTTTTATTCTAGATCACTTAGTATATGTAAGAGATGACTTGTTCCATGTATCAAGATCAAGTGTCAAAATTGAATACGAATTGAAGACTGGCAGCTCTGAAGAAAATTGTTCAAAGTATAAACTAACGCAGTTATATATATGGGCCTTTTCCCCCGTTGCAGGACCCCCTCTTTTGTAGATGTAGAAAACGTAGGGGTTTAAGTCAGTTTTGCTGGTGTTATCATCAGTATCTTCTATAATTACCCCGCCACTGCACTGATTTTCAAACTCCTCCACAGGGTTTTTCCTAGGAAATGGGAGGAAAAGCCGTGAGGTCGAGTTTGATTGCGGATTCTTAGACTGTTCTTAATTCTCCAGGTCTACCAGCATTCAGGCGTTTTTGTAATTTTTTGCCACCGTGAAAGTCGGCTCACGCGCGCAAAAAAAAATCAAAATAAGAAAAGATCATTCGCAGATTAGTGTTGAGAACGGTGTGGGTGTTTATCCTTCACTAAAAATTTCGGAAATTTTCTATGGGAACGTAAATGGATCACGCTTTCATAAACATTCCAGAGGTGGACAATTTCCGTCCGAGATTAATGGGATCGTTTTTTAAGTGGGTGTCACGTTTTTTGCATTTGAGACCATTTTTGATGACCCAAGTGAAACTCATCGGAAAGGGATATAAACGGGCAACCAACTCCCATTACCGTAAGAGTTCCAAAAACGATTCCCGCTTCTTTTTCCTGGCCAATCAGGAGCGGGGAATTCATATACAAATGGAACTGGTTCCTATAAAATCTGAGGCGATTTTTATCCGGATCCCAATTGTCCTCCTCAGGGTCTCCGATGATGAATAAGGACTTTCCTAATAGATCTTCATATTCCGGCCTTGTAGCTCAAGGCCCTCTGCTGGCTTTCACGGCCGTGCCTTAGCAGTTGAATTGAAAGTGTTCCTCGCAAACGATAATTGTTAACCGAAAAGGGGGCAACGAGTTAACGTCATTTAGTCCTTTCGTGTTATTCCTACTAAAGTCTTCCTTACATTGCCGGGTCGAGGTTGATACAAGGTTTAGCCATCTAGAGTTTAATTTCAGTTTATCAAAGGCACATGCTTCATTTTCCATCGTTCATTTTCATCAGAGCAGTAAATTTTAGCCGCATCTTAACAGGTGTTTATAGATGAAAGAATGGATAGAACTATCTGATAGAGACATCTGTTGACAATTAACAAGATGGTCGCGAATGGATACCGGTTCTATCTCTTGGCTAGAAGTTTTGTTTACTTGCTATTTACGTCTATTTTGAGAATTTTGTCAACGGCTCTATAAATAAAATTATTAATATAAATCAGGAACAGGCGTTTAGCTGATGACATAGTAAAAGAAAAAGACATGATAGATTTTTGATTTTATGATGGCTGAACTCATTGATAATAAAGTTATATCCACTGAAAAATATTTCGCAGTGTTCTACGATTGCTTTTGGGTACCGCCGTCAAGCTTGAGCTCTGCCCCGCCAGCGATAAAAAACTAAGGCTTGAGACCAGCATTCGTTTGAGGCTCTTTTTGATTTCTTAAAGTTTTGTCCCCTTGAAATTGTAGTCAACCGTGGGTTGAGTTAATCCTTTACACACCTTTCTCAGCGTCTACTTTACAGCGTCGGTCTCGTGAAATGTATCAACAAGGATTTCCTTAAGTCAAAAAAGCGCCTTTGCCAATGCAAAGGTACTTGTCATGAATAACTGATTTTGTCTCATCGAAGTCGATCGATGTTAATGAACGTGTTTTTCTGTGTCAGTTGTGTAAGAGCTGGCGGATAGGCCTCAATTCCCTGCCAGTTTTATTCCTTTTGCCTATTGCGTGTGATACCCGCCAAAATTAAGTTATCCAATATCTGGTCACAGGGGGGCGCTTTTTAAAAGCTCTCAATCTCCTTTTGACTTACTATATCCGGTCCAATGATCCAAAATGACCTACAAACTTTGTGCCAAAGTCAACAAGTTGGAAAAGAAAATCCCTGTAACGTTTAACAAAAGTTCGGTGTGAGAGAGTAGATCGACAAAATATGAAGCAACTTTCTGTACTAACATTTTTCTAGCAAAAAAGAAAACAGATCTCTTCCACTGCAACGGTGGAGAGGGTGAAAGTGAATTGGATTCGTATTTCCTTTCAAAGCATTGTTGCTGGCCCAAGCCTCGTAGGGGTGGGGCGGGGGGAGTTCACTCAAAAAAGTCTTAACAGGAGTTTCGCGCTGAGGTTAAACCCCTTACCCTTTTGGACCATTTTTGACAAACAAGGCAGTTCTTTCGTACACCTTTCGTTTTAAGTGGTACTCATTACAAATGCCTTGTTAAGAACACTGCATTCCTTTTAACTAACTGCTGTGAATGCACCGTCATTTGAAGATGAATAATTCACTAAACCAGGAAGTTTAAAACTGCGTTTATTGGCCCTTCTAGGTCCTTTCAGAAACCACACTTCCGTGACGGATTTCCCTGGCCATTTATATACTTCAACTGGTGAAAACTCCACCTTTTAATGTATCTGAATCCTAAGAAAAGTACCTGTTTCGGGCGGAACCCCCCGGGGCCCAAGCTAACAACAGAGAATTCTTTTCAGCTTATAAGCAATTATTGGGATAAAAAATCATGTTACTCGTCTGTTCTCAATCTTGGTCAGAATAAAATGGAAAGGCAACCCCCCGAAATCAAGGATGAAGACTAAAACGCGACNTACTCATTACAAATGCCTTGTTAAGAACACTGCATTCCTTTTAACTAACTGCTGTGAATGCACCGTCATTTGAAGATGAATAATTCACTAAACCAGGAAGTTTAAAACTGCGTTTATTGGCCCTTCTAGGTCCTTTCAGAAACCACACTTCCGTGACGGATTTCCCTGGCCATTTATATACTTCAACTGGTGAAAACTCCACCTTTTAATGTATCTGAATCCTAAGAAAAGTACCTGTTTCGGGCGGAACCCCCCGGGGCCCAAGCTAACAACAGAGAATTCTTTTCAGCTTATAAGCAATTATTGGGATAAAAAATCATGTTACTCGTCTGTTCTCAATCTTGGTCAGAATAAAATGGAAAGGCAACCCCCCGAAATCAAGGATGAAGACTAAAACGCGACATTTCCCATCTTCGAGTTTGGGGGAGAGGAGGATTCTTCACTTTCGTTCTGTTTGTTCAAGATTTTGGTTTCCTTATGAACGGTTATAGGGGCCGGTATTAAGCAAAGATGATAGTGGTTAAATTAGAGAGCGACGGGAAGAGAAAACTGAAGCGATACTGCAGCGAAAGGTTTGGAAAACACTTGTACAAGAAAACGCAAGTAAAGTTCATTAACAGAGGAACGAATTAACAGGGGCACCCAACGACTATTTTCTGTAAATATCTGTTCGGAGAAGCAAATACTGCCTAGCATTTTCTAATGCTTGAATACGGCTAAAAATTTTTTGACGAACGTTCCACTGAGGTACAATTTTCGAAGGTTATCTAAAAAATTCCTTACGATTTTCTAAAGTTTATTTTTTCATATTTTACTCCTTATGTTAGGCTAACGTTCTTAGAAAAAGGTAACCTAAAATTTTGGGATTCAAATATGTGATGAAGAAAGGAATAAGAAACATTTTCACTTTCGTAAACGTTCAATTGCATCTAAAATTTTCTTTGTAATTTCGAAAAGCCTCAAGCTCCCCTAGGAAGACCGAAAAGATACAAATTTTTTAAATGAATTTCTAGGAATAAAAAAGTTCTCTGGATAGCCTAAAAAGACTTTAATGCTTTTAGGAGGAAACCGTCGTTGGGTGCCCACAATTGGAAATTCGGTGGTCAGTGTGAATGAATAATATGCTAAAGATGTTCTGTCTCTTCTGCACCACCAGTCTCGCTTTCGTTTTTCCTGTCGATCCCCAACCTTCAAATGATGGATATTAGTAAGAATAATTTTCGCTTAAACAAATGCTAAGACATCTCTAGATAATGCTAATTTTGTACAGGAAGAGCCTGACCTCGTGACAAACAAGCAGACCTCCAACGCTTGTCACTTTCTAAAGACAAGAGTCTTTAAAAGTTAAATCAAACAGAGCCGAACGTTTAGGGTGAATAAGAAAATAACTCATGCACGTGGGATTGAATTGGCAAAATCTCTCATTCTTTCATTCCCAATAGAACAAATTGACAGATTGAAACTGATTGCGGGTTCCCGTGGTCCCGGAGAATTATAAGCAATTATTGGGATAAAAAATCATGTTACTCGTCTGTCCTCAATCTTGGTCAGAATAAAATGGAAAGGCAACCCCCCGAAATCAAGGATGAAGACTAAAACGCGACGTTTCCCATCTTCGAGATTGGGGGAGAGGAGGATTCTTCACTTTCGTTCTGTTTGTTTAAGATTTTGGTTTCCTTATGGACGGTTATAGGGGCCGGTAATAAGGCAATGATGATAGTGGTTAAATTAGAGAGCGACGGGAAGAGAAAACTGAAGCGATACTGCAGCGAAAGGTCTGGAAAATACTTGTACAAGTAAACGCAAGTGAAGTTCATTAACAGAGGAACGAAATAACAGGGGCACCCAACGACTATTTTCCAAAAAATTCCTTACGATTTTCTAAAGTTTAATTTTTCATATTTTACTCCTTATGTTAGGCTAACGTTCTTAGAAAAAGGTAACCTAAAATTTTGAGATTCACATATGTAATGAAGAAAGGAATAAGAAAAATTTTCACTTTCGTAAAACGTTCAGTTGCATGTAAAATTTTCTGGAAGTAACACTGCAGCCCTGGTAATTTCGAAAAGCCTCAAGCTCCCCTAGGATGACCGAAAAGATACAAATTTTTTACAATGGATTTCTAGAAATAAAAAAGTTCTCTGGATAGGCTAAAAAGACTTTTTAATGCTTTTAGGAGGAAACCGTCGTTGGGTGCCCACAATTGGAAATTCGGTGGTCAGTGTGAATGAATAATATGCTAAAGATGTTCTGTCTCTTCTGCACCACCAGTCTTTCGTTTTTCCTGTCCATCCCCAACCTTCAAATGATGGATATTAGTAAGAATAATTTTTGTTTAAACAAATGCTAAGACATCTCTAGATAATGCTAATTTTGTACAGGAAGAGCCTGATCTCGTGACAAACAAGCAGACCTCCCGCGCTTGTCACTTTCTAAAGACAAGAGTCTTTAAAAGTTAAATCAAACAGAGCCGAACGTTTAGGGTGAATAAGAAAATAATGCATGCACGTGGGATTGACATTCTTTCATTCCCAATAGAACAAATTGACAGATTGAAATTGATTGCGGGTTCCCGTGGTCCCGGAGAAAGAAGGGGAACCCCCTACCACCCCCCCCCCCCCCCCCCCCCCCCCCCCCCCCCCCCCCCCCCCCCCCCCCCCCCCCCCCACCCCCCCCACACCACCCCGGGCGCGGGGCGGGGCCGGACCCACACCATCCCCACCCCCCCCCCCCC